ACATCCATCTCTTCTAACACAGATTATATAATCTCACTCTTGCCGTCTGAGGAACCAACAGAGTTTTTGCGTTTGGGTTAAAGGACGAAATGTAAGGATGATTGTTTCTCCGAGCTCTGCTGTCAGACTGACTGTAATCTGGACTGACTGAATGTGGTTCAGCTCAGTTTTCTAGCACAGCAGCGTTTTCATTCAGTCTGCCTGTGGTAGTAAACATAGCAGCATGTTTTGACATTTTATCTACATATCATCGTTATAAAAGAAAGAAAGTTATGATATAAGGTACAGCCAGCGCTTGGATCTTATAAAAAATATATCAGAGATAAATTAAATGTTTATATAGAAAAAAAGTCACAAGGTTTTCCTGCCTGTTTAATGCTAAAGCTAACGCTAATGCTAACGCCACACCAACTACAAAACGAAAGAGTGAAAAAGTTTGTTGGCTTCATTTGAGTTTCTCTGAATATTTATTTCCTCAGAGAAACTTTTCAGTTTGTTATTAATTTATTGGTTTTTTGCTCGTTTAATCTCAACATCGTCACATTTAAGACTCAGAAACAGCAACAAAAAACAAAAACAGCCGAAACACGAGATGAAAACCTTCATGAATCACCTGCTTTTTAGCCAACATGTTTTCTTTCTTAAAAACTACTTATATTGTAACATTTTTTTGTTTGTTAATAATGTATAAATTAAGCTTTACTGGTTAAATAAATAAAATATGAAGAACGTGGAAATGTTTTGATTGAATAAATGAATAATTGATTAAATGCCTGAACGTCATGCACTAATTATACAGTGGTAATGTGTTGATGTGTATAAATCTAACTAATAAACGTTTATATTTCCAACATTTTTGCACTTTATCTCACTGAACATGTAGCCAAAAATAAATTCAAAGAATTGATTATTAGCTGCAGCTCTAATCAGGAGGAATCTCTCCATCTGATGGGGGAGAGGAGCCTCCGTCTGCCTCCGCCTGCTGCCCTTCCCCCCTCTCTCCTCCTCTTCCTCCCTCCTTCATCCCGGCTGCAGCAGGAACCCTCTCCACCTCCACCAATCCCGTCGCAGGGTGCAGGTGCGGCCTGCGGCGTCCGCTGCCGCCATGTTTGACACGGCTCGCCGCGCAGAGCCTCTGGCCGCCGCTCATCTAGTCGGCAGCTTAAATTATTAAAGATGGCGCTTATGAAGGCCGAAGGGAAATGATTTTAAAGAACTGATCTGCTGTTGGTGAGATTTCATCAGGGGTGTTCAAAGTGCGGCTCGAGGGCCATTTGCGGTCGCCAGACTGATCTTCTACGGCCCCACAATGCTGGTTAACGGGATGGTGATTTTATTTTTAAAATAAAAGATACAATGTGAAATATTAATATTTAATAACCAGCCTCTTTAAATGTCCTTTTATTTTGTAGTAAATCTGACCACATTTAGCCAAAAGTTTCACTCTACAGCAAAATTTAATTTATTAAACTTCACCAAATACAGTAAAAAGTGAAAAAAATCCTGTTTTTATACCAAAAATAAACTCAATGTTTATGTATTTCATTTTTCCAAATGATTTCCAAGTAATGTGCAAACAGGGTGCTTTTCTTTTAACAAAGCAAATACACAAAACATATAAATAAATTTAAAGTTTTGATCTTAAACAAAATGGATTAGTTTGTCTTATTGAAATATTCGATGCTCAGTTTACTGTTGGGACGTTTTGGACCCGTCTGCTCTAAATAATAAAGAATTACAACTGTTTGCTTTTTTTCTTTTTCTTCTACATTAAAGGTAGCATCTCTGCAGACCACACACATCCTGGACACAGACTGTTTCTGATGAGGTTTCATCACCAGATTACAATTTTAATTTTGACTTTTTCTCTCATAAGGATTAAACTACGCAAAACAATCCACTGAGTTCTCTGATGTCTAGATTAAATATTGTAACATTTGATTTTTTTAAATCTAAAGTGATACATTAGGCGTCTATTGTAACATATTTATAGTATTTCTGCAACCAAAACAGTCTGAACTGAATGAATCTGGTCAGATTAGGCCAGAAATCCTATTAAACATCCTATAAACCATAAATATACAAAAATACTTGTTTTATTTGGATGGAAAAGCTACAGATGCCTTTTCTGGCCCAGGTCCCAATATTTGACATTTTGAATCTAATTTTGACTCGTTTTGATTTTGATTTTCCTCCAGAGAGAAGAAAACGGGTCTTAAGTATTTATTGTGTCAGGATTTAATGGGAAAAGTAACAAAAAAGCAACAAACAAAAATATTGGTTCAATATTTGCAGGTGTTTCTGTTCAACGTTAATAAAAATTCACAGAAAATGCAGCTTGGTAACAATGCCACTGGAGACCCTAGAAATACTGAATATTTTGGTATTAATTTATGTTTGATGTGTCAAACAAACATTTAGGCGTTTTTCTGTTTTTCCTATTATGTTGCTAAAACCTTTGAATTTGAACCAAGTTTATATTTGTCTACAAAGTTCCATTGAAACAATAAATGTTTGTTTCTCCTAAATAAAGAGCAAAAACTTTGAATTAGAAAGAAAATCAAAGGAAGAAATTACAAACTACAAGAGAAAAACAATAACATTTCACAATGGAATCTCAAACTAAACAATCTGATCATGCTAGTATTGATCAGATATTGATATTAATGAATATTAAGGCATGTTTGGTGTTTGAACTATTAAAATAGGGAGGTGTAGGTTGTAGGAATATGCGATATATAGGGGCGCCAGGCTACAGGGGGCGCCAAAAAATGATTTCAAGTCTGCATTTTCTTATATTTAACATCTGTTTGTGCTCTGAAAACCCTTCCTGGAGAGAGTGAAGGACATAGAAACTTAATTTAAATAAGAAGATGAATAAATAATAAACATTTCCAACTATGTCCATTCCGCTTTTAATTATTAAATGGATCAAATCCTGCGCCGCAGCCACAGCGAGGAGCCTGCAGCAAATGAGAGCGAAGCCGGTTTTAATGACCTCTGTTATCCAGGCCTCCATCACCAAACATCCAGCCTGAGTTTCACCAAAGCTTCGCCTCAAACCGGCCTGCTGCGTCACCGAGGATGAACAAAGCAAACACGTTTCCTCAGGTCGGTGTTTGCGAGCGGGGCTGTTTTTACGCAACGACTTCAGCTCCATCAGAGGGTGAGGCTCTGCTGTGATCAGCCCGCGGATCGCCATATTTCACTCATTCAACACCTTCAGGCAGATTATTGATGACATTAAATCGCTGATTGGCTGTTAAAATGAAACCAGAGCGTAATTAGGGATAATAAGGTTCACGGTTTTCTGCGCATCAGCAGCGCAGGTTGCAGGAGATCAGAGCTGCACAAGTGATTTAGCACCACCATCATCATCCTCATCCTCATGAAGACCCGCGGCCTGCGCACAAACCCAAACATCTCTATGCTGCTGCCATAAAGATCTCCACCAGAATCCCCGACAACCACGAACAGGATGAAGCCTTACTTTCTCCGACCACCGCCTTCAGTCCGATCGGTGCCATGATGCTGCTGCTGCTGCTGCCGCGGAGCGATGAGCCTCCTCCCTCCTCTGGTCGCCTCTCACCGCAGCGCGGAGCCTCCAGATGGAGACGTCACTGCGCACCGGCCCCCCTCCTCCACCCGCAGCCAGGACTGCGTGACGTGCGTGATCATTAGCTCCCCTAATTGACAAGAAGCAACGACTTTACAGTCAAAACGAGACTTTTATCCGGATGCAGCAACAGAAAACTGAGCATCTAAGAAATTTCTTATTTTATTTCTATTAGGTATTAAAATTAAACAAAAACAAACATAAGTAAAAGAAAAGTATTCAAGTGTGTTTGGCATACAGGGGCGCCGCTCTGTAGAGGGCGCCACAAACAAGTTGGCATTTTTTGTATAACAGAAAATTATATTAGTTTAGTTTATAGTAGCAAATTCACAACAAAAGTTGTCAAAAGTGTTGTTTCTGAAGAGGAGAAATTTTATTACTCTCGTTTTTAAAATAAACTAAAAACCAACACAAGTGTGGAAAATTATTTTAAAGGAAAAAGTTGTCAAGTAATGAAAGAGCAGCGGCGCACATTTGACGTGTGGGGGCGCCGTAGAAGAGAGGGCGCCACAACATGGTGGAAAGATGAAGTATAACTGATCAAACAATGAATCATTTAACAGTTAAAAATGACATAATGGTATTTGATTCACTTGAAACATCGACCATTAGGAGTATTTTCACACTATTTATTTTTACTTGAATAATTTTATTAGAAAGTATTTCTGCTCTTATTTAAGCAAAATTTCTGTTTTTTTCTTCCCACTAAATAAAAAACAAACAAGTTTTAATCAAACACTCACCATAAACAGACACAAACCTGCAGTTTTGGTAAAAGATTCTGGGTTTTTAATTGAAGGAAACGGATTTGGAAACATTTTATTTTGCCTGACTGTTATTTTTTGTTCCTTATATGAATTATTGTCATTTTGGATCTTAAAATATCGAAATCTCCACTTAACTTTAGATTTTGGTCAGTCTGATGATGTAATTTTTAAATAATAAATTATTGATAATTTGATCAGTTCAGTTTTTGGCTAATTTTAGCCAAAATATTAGAAACTCTTAGTAGATTTTAAACTGTAGTTCTGAACGCGGCCACAAGGGGGCAGCAGAAACCCGTTTTCATCAGCAGGTATGCTTTCTGTTTATCTAAGCACACAAAGGGAAACTTCAGCACCACATTAACAAAATGTTACAGCCTAAAACCAGAGCTGAAACGTCTCATCATGACGCTAATGAGTGAAGCTGTAAAACCAGTAAAAATATAAAATGTTTCCAAAAACACAAAACAAGTAAACACAGACTCCAGGCCACACCTTTGGCCCGGCCGACTGAACACGTTGGACCAGTGATGACTCCCAGAGGGTGTGTCCTGCTGCCTCTCTGTGAAAGGGAGCAGTGTTCACCTCCTCCTCCTCCTCGTCTTCCTCCCTCTCGGGGTTTTCTGGAGCCAAACAGGAGGGAAGCCGCAGCAGCAGATTCCCTGCAGAGCGCCGGAGTCTTGGAGGTTTAACCTGGGAGTTAGCACCGCTGGGAAACACTGTCGCCATGGGGGACGTGGTTTCCTCTCACCTGGACGAGAGCAGGCGGGAGATGATTACAGGTTACACCGATTTATCCACTTTGCTTTTCCTTTTTAGGCTACAACGCACCAAATCGGAGCACTTTTCTCCATTTTTAGAGTTCAAATGACTCTTAAAACGGAGATAATAAGCAGGTTTCCAGCAGAGGCGGGGGGTATGTTTGTCTAAGTTTGGGACTGATCTGCCTCCCACTGAGAAATGTTCCAGCAGAGCATGGAAACAAACCCAATCAGAGGGATTTTACATCAGGGTTCTGCTCCTTTACTGCATGTTTTAATTGTTGGTTGTTTCCCTGCTGCTGCTGGAAAGCAGGAATCTGAAGATTGTTGAACTGCAGACTCTCTTCTTGTTTGTTGTTGCTTTTTGTGAAGCGACAAATGAAATGCTTTCTGGTGAAGTTGAGAAAAGGAAAAAAGGGAAGGGCCTCTTTGTTCAAAGAGATTCAGCGCCTGCATGCAGCTGAGTTAAATACTTTCATACAAGTTTAAATGTTTTCATTGGGATTTCATGAGGCAAAATGGAAGGAAACCTGTTGGAGGTTCACCATCCAGCAGGAAAACCTCCTTAGATCATGTTTTCAGATGGTCTAGTCAAAGTTCAGTCAAGGCTAAACTCAAAAATTGTTTCTCAAAAACACTCTGCAGCTCCCTGTCTAATGAGGCAGCAGCTGTTTAATAAAAAAATAGACAGAAAATCATCTCTGGATGGGAAAAATAGTTAATTTTGAGTTCAACGATGCATCGATATCGATGGATCGATATCCGATATCGATGTTGCTATTAAGACTGATAACCAATATTTACCAATGTTATATACATTTCACTACTTAAAAAAAGACCAGAAACAAATGGAGTTAAAAATAACTATCAGTTGCTCATATGGACCCAGTTTTATTGATCAATGTGTCAAGAAATTACAAATATCGGCTGATACCGATGTTAGTGTCAATGTATCGCGTACAATCAATTCACATGCAAAGAATAAAGAACAGAGAAAATACTGCTGAGTCAAATCCTAAAATGTGGTATTTGATGATGCGTTTAAAAAAGTGGAAATTTTCAGTTTCATGCTTAGAATAATTTTATAAATTAGATCGACAGTCAAAACGGAAAATCTGATAAAACGGGGACTAGATTAACCTTCACAATGGCTAAAAATGAAGAATAAAAAGACGACTATTAAAATAAATTAAATCTTCAGAAGCTGCTTTTATAGGCCAACAACAAAACATCAGACCGGACAAATGTAAATATGTTTGGACAAGGCAGTGGCAGCATCAGGCTGTGGTTTTTATTTTAGTTCATTTTGCTCTTGTGGTGGAATGTAGGTTAACATCATTAATAACTAATAAATAATGGGCTTTTTTTTTAGTGTTTGTTGTTTGTATCTAAAGTTTGGAAACTTACTTTGAAAATGCTTGAATTTTCAAGGTGTTTTCAAGGTTTGGAAAGTCCTTGAAGGTCCTGATATTCAAACAGCAAAGTTTTGTAATAAAGTTTAACGTTTGATTAAAAATTTAAACAGATATTTTCATATTTTTTTCTCTCAGTCTGATGTTAAATCTGAGATAACGTTTCTGTTTTAGGTTAGTTGGAAACACTGAAATTACTTTTGTTTACTAAATATCAGAAAATTTAGCAAGAAAGTTTTTTGTGATTTTCTTTGTATATTCTGTTATTGCATTATTTTATTTTATTTTTGAAAATTAAATTTTTCGTTTTTTTAGTATTTTGCTGCAGTCAGGCACATTTAATAACATAAAATTTATATATATTTTAGTTCCCTTCATCCTCACTATGGACCGTGGATTAATATAACAATATATTATCAATAACAGTAATCAATGATAGTGAATAGATTTAGTTTGTTTTGTTTTTATCTCCAGAAAGGTTCTGGAAAAAGTTTGAAAATGACCTTGGAAGTTGTTGGAAGTTGTTTGAACGTTCCAGTAAAGAGCTGGCGTCGTTTCCAGAGCAGATGAGGGGAGCAGCGGATCAGAACGCGGTGCAGCAGGTAGCGACACGTCCCGGTTCGTCTGGCCGCTTCGCGCCGCGCCCTTCCTCAGCGCCGCCTCTACCTGCTCATCTTCCTCGGCGACTCGCGTCAAACCTCTGAAAGCCACAGGAGAACGCCTGGGTTCCCGTCTGTTATTACACGTCCTGGTCCGACTTTGTAGTGGCGGTTTGGGTTTGTTTGCGTGGAGCTGTGCAAAAGTCTCAGGTCGTCACTTACAACCAGACTGCTTTTCTTTTAAAGTCATTGCTCTGATGATTTGGTGTCCAAAAGAAATATGAAGGAAGAAAAGAGATGGAATTAGGGTAGATTAATCAAATTCTCTGCTTCTGAAGATTTAATTTTACGTTCACCAATGCATTTCTTAGATTTATCAATTCGACATAAATCTTTACCTCAACTCTGCTAAGGTTTCCAAATGCAGCATTTTCCAGGACTGAAGCTGAAATCTCAGTCATTTAGCCTTACTGTTTCCTGCTGAAAGTCTTGCTCTCTCTCGCTTATTCGCAATCTGAAGTGAAATCAGATTTTGACATGCTGTATTAAATAAAATTTCCTTTTAATTAGTGCTTATTTTCTCTCTCTGATCCGAAGAATTGCTAACCTTAACAGCTTCCACACTGAAGAGTGTTGGCAGCTTTTACTGATCAGAAAAAATATCAGATTTTTCTCTGGATGCAAGTCCAGCCAGATCAGCAGTGTACATCTCCAGTTCTCCACCATCCTGAAAGTTTCCGATGCATTCTTGCTCCGACACACCTGAATCTAAACGTTGAATTATCTCTTCAGCAGGTTTAGCAAACATCGGGATGTTGATCGCTCATTTAATCCAGCTTTGACGGAGCAGAGATGCATGCAAAAGTTGCCAGACTGTGGCAATCCAGGAGTTTAACTCAAAGCATATTCATGTGTTAGTGTTGCCTAGTCAAAGTCTACACCCAAATCCAAAGACAGCAGAGACATTTCTAACAAGATTTGCTGCTTTAGTTGCAAAAAAAGTTGGTTCTGAAATACTGAATTGTGACAAAATGTAAAAACTACAAGGAGTAGGTGCATGATAAATTGAAATGAGCTCAATCATTTTTATTCCATTTATATTCTTTGAAGGGAAATTTTTTTATAGAGATTTTATGACCCATTTTATTTGTGGTTTCAGTTGTAAGTGATGTTTGTTTCCACTTCATGTTGGATATTTAAAATATCTTCCAGTTTCAGATGTGAAGGTTTACTGGTCTTTGAGACGGCCATTATCAAAATTTTACTTGTAACTGATCTCAAACAACAATATTATTTATCGCAATAATTATTGGGACAACTTATTGCCCAGGTAGGATACAGCACAAGGGACAATTCAAGACTTTTGCACAGCATTGTCCCTCTGTTGCATGCAAATGCTACACGATCGCAGCACAAAAGATAAACAGAGTTAAGCAAATCTTTAACAGTGACTGACCACATTGTGTCAACAACCTGCTGGTGTAACTGGGATCACCAGGAAAAGCTCAACTGGAAAAGGAATCATCTGAATCTGCAGAAAAAGTGAGATAAATGGGAATTTTTCCAGATTCCCGCGGTCTAAAAGCTGTGTGTCTTTTCTCCAGTCTGTCTGAATAAGACCCCCCACCTCCCTGCTGCAATGAAAAACACAACAGGATTACATAAGATAGGCCACCTGTTTCCTGACCTCAGAGAATAAATCAGATTTCCTGGTAAAAACAGTTTGAATCAGCCTTACTCAGCAGTCCTTCACATTTCAAGACAGTACATTTCTTTTGTCCTGTAGAGAAATTCAAGGTTCAACGAGGGAAACCTCCTTACATCAGACCAGGCAGGTGCTTCAGGTCAAACACATTAGACAGAGTGTTTTGGTTTATTTTTTCGCTTTCCAATCTCCAGTCAACTATTTAAAGCATTCCAGTCTGTTGACTTTGGCCCTGCAGGACGTCTGGTGGAAAGTACCAACTTGGTGCATAATCATAGAGCCAACCGCAGTGACCAACACTTACCTGCTGCAAAACGCAGTTGGTATGAAGAGCATGAAAGCAAACATCCAACAGAGATCTGCTACGTTTGGAGATCAGAATGCAGATGGGAGGGGCTTGATGTGCCAAACCGTTGAGTCATCATTTTTTATTTTGGTTTCAATGAGGCAAGCAGAGCATTTAGACTCAAGAGAACAAAATAGAGAAGAAGAAGAAGAAAAAGAAGACTATCTTTGGACTATCACAAATATCCCAACAGACATTTAAAGAGAAAAACGTCTTGATAATTGAACTTGTTGGTGTGTTTTGGATCATCGTCCGGCTGATGAGTTTAGAGTTTAGAGAGCTTCAGAGTTCATTGATCCATTATGGGAATTCAACCAACTGGTTTGGGTAAAGCTGTCCAAACCGACCAGGCGGAGAGGAAAAAGTAAGCTCAACCCTTCTTAAACCATCACTATTCACAAATAGGGAAACATAAAACAGAGGCAAGCTTTTCCAGGAATGGCTAGCCAACCAGAAACCCTTTTCATCAGAGGCATGAAAGGGCACAAGTGATTTGACTGGCAGCAGACTGAATTTGTTGATTGGCCTGTGGGATCTGTGATGAGGCAAAATGGAGAACTGCAACTCGGAAGAGGGCATACATCGTCAACTGGACTGGACAACCCACAATGAACAAGTCTGCTGAGAGACTTTGGAGAAACTGACCACCCATGTGTACCCACGCAAAGTGACATCATCAGTCTCTGTGTGGATCGTAGGTCACCCAGACTCCTGCCCAATCAGTGACGAAGACAATGCCAATGGAGACACACCCAACTTGGCTAGAACCGAACCAGAGACTGACCAGCAAGAGGGTAGGGTGAGACCTGACAATGGAGAAGGAACAAAAGTTACACCAAGAGAACAGCGGCGACTCATCCAGAAGATTCCTGAAGAATCCAAAATATCCTGTAAAGAACCACAGAGTTCCTCAGTTACAGTCAGTGGACATGAGTCAACAATAAGAGTCACAACTTCCTTTTTCATGAACTTTAAAATTGAGTGCCATCAGATTTTAGCAGTTGTAGGATTCGTCTTGTATAAGACCACAAGCCATTTCTCCTGTTAGCACTTGCACACTTGTTTTGATTGTATGTGGTCAGAATGTGCTGCGCTGCAGTCCACTTCCTGGAGTTGTCTGAGGTCCTCTTGGTGTTCACACATGGATTTGAAACGAGTTCCCAGAGACCAATCGCAGAGTTAGATTCTGCATTCTTAACTCCCTAAATGAATTAACTTAAATGCAAACGAACTGGAGTTGGATTAAAGTGGACTAAACAGGGCTGGTATGAATCCAAGTAAAGTTTTCTGAAATGTTTGGGATGAAAACAAGCATAACGTTGTGGAAACCAACAGTCAGACAAAGTGGTGGTGGTGTGGTGATGTGGGGCTGCTTTCTTGCTTCATTACATTGATGGAACCACAAATTTTGGTCTCTACCAGAAAGTCCTGTTCCAAATTATATAACTGCTGAAAGACCACAAAATGAAGTCTTATGGACCTAATCCAATTGAGTTATAGTGTTGTGATTTTAAAGAAGATGCTTTAAGCTCAAGAACGATTGAATGTGACTGAATTAAAGCGATTCCTCCATACTGATGCCAGTTATCAGAAACTTGTTGTCTCTTGCTGCGTTTGCCGTTTCTTCACCGGGTTCTGACTCGGCCCATCCTCAGACTCGTCCTCCCATTTCGTCCCTGCTGTTTTTTAATCCCTGTCCCCCGTCTCCTACACACTCCCTCCATGTCTATCCTGTCCTGTCAGCGTCTTCCTTCCTGCTCTGCTCCCTCCTTCCTGTCCCCATGCTTCCATAAACAGACCAGAGTCCACGTCTCGCTTGTTTACAGCACTAAAACACGTGATTTGTCCTCTGCAGAAGGTTCTTGAGACGGTTTTATTGGGATGCTACACAACTGCCTCCAAGTTGATACAATCTGGGCTCTTTTTAGTGGATGTGGAAGTCAAAGGTTCATTTAGTTACAGCTGCTAAAAAAAGAAAGATCTGAATTAGAGGCTTCCCACTTGTTTCCCAAAATACTGTTCTGACTAATTGGATAAAATTTACTTTGAAAGGATGACGTTAGCATTTCAGCTGAGATTATTTAGCAGGCTGGTTGCAATGAAAACGTTAAAAGAGCTAAATAATTTACAAATTATGTTCCAACTGAAAAATGATTGATTTGTGGTTCTGCATTTATAATAAACCAGCTACACTCACTACTTTTGGAAACAGTCTCTTCATTTTTCACTTTGAAAGGTGCAAATTTGTACAAACCGTGGATTAAAAAAAATAAAATGATGGTGTTTTTTCTCCTGCAGCTCGGACCGGAGACGTGATGAGGCAGTTTGGCGATCTGTACGAGAAGCAGTACGCCGTCGCCCTCTTCAACGTCGTCCGCTTCGAGATAGAAGGAGGCGGCGGCGCGCAGTCGCAGCTGCTGCACCGAAAGGCAAGTTTCATCGCCCCAAACGTCGACAACACAGAGCTGAAAGTTACATTTCAGCTTCAATTAATGACTTTTCTTCAACAAAATCCTCAAGAAGAATGTAAGGTCAAAGTTTTATTGTTTTCGCCCAATTAAACACACAAAAATATTAGTGAAATCTTCCTATTTTAGCTGCACAGCAGTAATTTTTTTACGTTTGCCTTAATGTTTACAACTACTTAAGTTCATTATTTTCTCTATTACTTAAATTTCTGCAACAAAAATATGAATGTTGCTTTGCTGTATTTGCTAGGAGTAAAGATTTGATGGATGTTTATGGCACAACTTATTAAATAGAAATAGAACAAAAACAGTTAAAGAAAAAAATGTCTTATGCAAGACATTTAAAAAATATAAATACTAAAATAAATGTTAAACATGTTGAGAGCAAAATTTATGCCGTTCTTGAACGGCAGTTTGCTAAATGAATCCAGGGGTCACAAATGGCCCCTCAACCACATTTTGGACACCAAAGCAAATGAATGGCCTAGTCAAAGTCTCCATCTAAATTAAGGTAAGAATTTGAAAATTGCTGGTCACAGATCATCATTCAGAAGAACGGCTGGAGATTTCCATCTTTAAATTAAGAAAACTGGTTGAAAATCCTCAAAATCAAATTATTTATATTAATCTATTTCTTTCTATTTTATATTATTTATTTATATGATGTATAATTTCCACTTCCTTAAGCACTTCGTTGCTTTGTACATGTGACAGTGCAATGACAATAAAGTTGAATTCTATTCTAAAGTTGGTTTAGCACATAAAACCCTAATAAAACAACATAGTTTGTGCCTAAGTTAAAAATAGTTTATTTTTTCTGCCAAATTAGCTTCACATTTGTTAACCTTAACCTTTAACCCCAGGAACCTAAACAGCCCAGGGCGTTTTGCGTTTTTACTCATTAGGTAAATAATCTCCGCTGATGATGAGACAGACGTCTCTCCTTCCTGATCCTCCCGTTGCTGCTTCATTCAGAAAACTAATCAAGCTAACAGACGCGCCGCTCCCTCTATTATGTTTTAATCTTTTAACTTCCAGTATTTTTTTTATTTGCTCTGTTCAGACTGAGTCATTCCTGAAGCTTTAAGATCTGAGAACAAAAACCACCTCCTTAAAATCAGACCAACACGAATTTCAGAGCCAACTGATAACTTAGCTAATTCTGAAACTATTTAGCACTTAGCTTCCCCTAAATTAATCCTAAAGCACTAATTTACTTGACTGTCTTGTAAACTTTCAGATGAATAAAAATCAACATCTGTGTTGAAGTTTTGGTAGTCAACTTAATTTCAGTAGACGCTTATACTCATGCTTTTATTTTGAAGTGAATGGCTGCTGGGTTTTCTCTTTTTCTTTTTTCAAATAACTTTTTTTCAAACAAGAAATAAAAAACAGACAGTAGAGAAGAATAATGTCAGAATTAAATTGTTGCTCCAGGGTTGTACTCTCAAATAATTTGATGCTAGCTCTTTAGCATTAGCATTATTAGCTAAAGAGCTAAAGAGTTTTGGCATAGCGTTCTTAGCGTCAGCGTAGATGATGTTAACAATTAACCCTTTACGGTTTCAGTGTTTCAAAGCTATTTCATATTGAAGTGTGATTTAAATCACTTAAAATCCTGAAAATATTTATTTGCAAAGGAATTTTGGTTGATTTTGATGTTTCTAAAACTCAAAGTTCCAACTTTGCAGAAGATATTTAAAAAGAAAAATGAAGATAAAAACAAAACGCCTGATTCTCTCACAGCGGTTACACGCTACAATAAGTAAAGTCACTCGCATTTAAAGATAAATATAACATTAACGCATCTTTTATGAATGAAGCCAAAATATCTCAACGTCATACCATTAAATAATATAAGTAAAGAAGTGAAACTCTGCTGACTTACACAAAGTTTTGTAGATGCATAAATCTGATGGCTGATTGTTTAAAGTAGCAGTTAAACTAATTCTAAGTCTAATAAGGTGAATATAATTAGATCAGAAGGCGACTGTATTTAAATAAACTGCTTGAATTAAATTATTTACAAAGTCAAATAAATTTTTTTATGTTTTTAAATGGTGCAAGATTTCTGACTTTATTTTGAAGGGATCACAGTTTGTTCATTCCATAAAATGCAGGGATGAGTCGATCCAGGATGTTATTAATGTTTCTAGCTTATTTTTGTGCATCTTTAATGAATGAAGCTAAAGCTGTTGAGCTTTTCCACCATCACTGGAGGGAAACTAGAGCACATTTCACACATGAGCAGATGCAGGCAGCTGCTCATATACACCAAAAATCTTCCATTTTGTTACGTTTTTCTTCATCAAATTGAATTTGATGGAAATCCTCAGAATATGGTGCAATGAAATAAAATCCTAACTAATGAACCCATTAGATTAATGCTGGCCTGCATTATCTGAAACACTTCTTTGATTATTAATTGATAAATTTTTAGAAAACATAAAAGTAAATCTCAAACTTTTCTTGCGTTTGAGTGAGTTATTTGATCCCATACAGGAACTCTGTAAACAAACCAGGGTGTTGCACGTCCTTCTGTAAACACCTGGAGGTAAAACTCTCCTCCCATCACTGTTTGGAAATTCTTGTTCAGGTTTTAAGACTCGTGGGAATGAAATAAATCTAAAACGTGTCAGAAATACGTCAGGAACGTCTTCACAGGATTAACGAAAGGCCTGTGGTTCTTCCAGGACCCTCTGGCGGGTCACACCATTTTCTCCGGGAGTTTGTTCCAGTACCTGGAGGAGAACCGGAAGTGGAGGAACCGTTTCGTCTTCATCCCAAACAGCTACTCCGTCGACCTCTACGAGAGCAAAGCGGTGAGCGGACGTCGGAGTGAACTGATGCTGGTTCTGAGGATCTGAACCAGCATCGGTTTGTGACCCGTGTTTGCTTCGCAGGCCTACGACCGAACGCTGCATCCCAAGGTTTCCATTAACTGTGCCGGGTACAAGGCCCTGACCTCCATGGAGGAGTACATGGAGCTGCTCACCAGCAGCCTGCCAGGTGGGGAACCATCCAAAACACAGCTGCAGTCTCATCATTTCTCACAACAATCCATGGGAAAACGGTTCTTTCCTATTTGTTAAGTAACGTAGTAAGTTTTCCTGGATGGTTGGGATAACAATTTGATTTTTAAACATTTTGGCGTTTCATCCAAACAAAAATTAAAAAACCAATTTGCGAAAACTTTGGTTTGGTGTTAGATGGGTTGAAGCAATCTGATGTTAGCGTGTTAGCATTGGCTTCTGCAGAACTAATGTTTACAACTTGTCCTGCAGTTACTTCACAAACAGGACTTAAATCACTAAAACTCTTGAAAATAACCATTTGTAGAGAAATGTCAGTTGTTTTTGACAGTTATAAAACTCCTACAGCTTGTGGGAGTTAAAAAATAAAACGCTCAATTGTCTCACAGCGGTTACATGACAGAGGGATTATTTGCAAACACAGAGGACGCCGGCCTTTAGATGCTGACTTGTTGCCATGGTTACCCACATTTATCTCGCTGCTTTAACATTAGCCATCAGTCAAATGTGATAAAATAAGTTATTCTATCATCTTTACAATACTGAATGAAGTGCATCTTACTGACCAGTAAACATTAAATGAAAGAGAGTTGATAAAAGGCAAGAAAAAATGTGACTGAATAGTAATAATAAAGCATTTTTGAAGCAATCTGATTGGCTGACGCAGGTTTGGCTTTGTGCTACACTGCCCCCTATGGGCCTGGCGTGTTTAAACCAAAGCTCAGGGCAGATTTATGAGAGTTCATGTGGATTGCAGGTTTTCTGATTTCCGTGTGCAATCACATTTACATTATTTTTAGATTCAGCTACGTGTGTACAAGGCCTTCAGGTAATTATTTTTTGTTTCTACAGAGTTTAATAAAAATCAGATCCATTCTGATTTTCCTGTTTAAGGCTAATTAGGCTAGCATTTAGCATACCAAAACATTGACCACAGTACCATCTTCAACCTTTTCTGAAATACTTTCTGTCTGAACTACGTCAAATGACTCGTTCTGTTCCCCGTTTCAGAAATCAAGGCCAAACCGAGTAACGCTCCCTTCATCAAGTGTGCCACCCAGTTCCCACTGATCCTGTGGCACCCGTACGCCCGCCACTACTTCTTCTGCGTGGTGACGGAGAAGGAGCAGCAGAAGTGGCACGCCGTGCTGCAGGACTGCGTCAGACACAGCAACAACGGTAATGACATCATCACATGCACAGCTGGTACCTTAAATTACAGGTTCACTTTAGAAAACAAACACTTTGTCTTTTAATTGAGCACCAAAAACAATCCAAGCCTTCCTTCTACTTTTTGTGAGAATTTTTACAGTTCAGTGTTTGTGGAAAATGTGTCTATTTCTAGAGGTTTACGTAGCGCTAATGTAGAACAGTCAAAAGAAATGCAACTTAGGAAGCTGAAATATTTTGGCACAAAGCCACTTGACACTATTGGTTGGTGTTTGTCGAGCAGCCAATCCCTGAGCACCGTTTGTCATCTTTAAATGGGGTAAATCAACCTTTATGTTACTCACTGTATAGAACATGGATTATAATCTGACATCAATTAAAGTTGAGGCAGCTGTTCAGTACAAGTAGGAAAGTTTTGGACAATTTTTGAGAAAAATCTGCAATAAATGTCCAATTATTAGCGCAAAAAATGTGGGAATTTGTTGATTTCGAAAGAATTTCCACAATAAATCTCAAGAAAATGGAAAAACTGATTAATATAATCTGTCAGTAAATGGATAAAACCTGCATTGATTTGATCGATAAGATCATATTTAAGCTTGGTTGGTGGTTAGTCTAGAATCTGTAGGGCTACATAAAAAATTACTGCGGTCCGGAAACTTGAGTTCAAATAATTACGCAGAATAAATTGGATTTCAGCAACAAAACAGAAAACTCAGCATCAACATCAAATGCTGCTGTGTGAACGTAGCGTTGGGAATAAAATGTCGTTCTTCAAAGTCTTGTCATTCTTCAAATGCATTTAGAAATATTAGCAGAGGAGGAAACCTGAAGTTTTCCTTCATCAGGGTGGGGAGCTGCTGCTGAGCCGTCTCTTCTTGCAGTGACATGACTCACACCTCATTGTTTAGAGACACAGAGACGCAGCAGGAAGTTGCAGCCACCTTGTTTGTTGTGTTGTCACGCCCCGCCTCATGCCTCGCAGATCTTGGGTCGGCGGCGCACTCATCGCCTGCCTTCTTGGCAACGAGGGTCACGTTTCTGAATTTCAGCGCGGTTGATTTTGAGGAATGGTGACGAGCAGGATAAATGAGGAACATGTGAACTCTCACAGATTCATTGATGAAGAAACGCAGGCCAACATTTACAGGAATGGACTTGTTTGATTTCGGTCAGGTGGAAAAGCAGGTGTGATGTAATGTTTATGTTGCAACATATTTACAAAATCAAACCCTTTCTGCTTGAGTAGATGTGGATGGCTGGGACAGACGGTTTGTGTTTTTACTGAACCAAAGCAGCAACAGCACTACAATTAAAGTGAAAGCACTGATTTATTAAACCAGTGCTTTCACTTTAATTGATAAAACAGAAGCTGTGACAACGTTGCTTTAAATGTTGTCCTTAGCACATTCCTTTTTAAACTTTCTATTTCTTTTTAAGCGTTAAGCCTGCATCATTAAGTGCTTTTAATGTTCTTTATAAATCCATAAATTAAAACAAATGGTAATTTTTCCTTCCAGACCGTAACAGGTCATCTGAGATAGAAGTGGATGTTTGAAATCTGGAGGTTTTGACCATTTATTCTCCGTCTCCAACATGAGAACCGTCAGGTTTCATCAGAACCAGTTTGGTTTGTTGATTCTCGTTGCTTCATATTCAACATTTATCTCCAGTGATTCCGTGTCAGTGAAAAAAATAATAGGAATGTGAAACATTGCAGAGAATTATTTATTTTTTGGTTTTTATCAATTATTCTCAATACCTATCTGGAGTATAAAGACTTTTTCTGTTCAGCCGACTCTGATGGAGAAACCATAAGTTAAATGTTGACTCAGACAAACCGAGGGCTCATTTGAATTGGCTAAAGCTTTCTTTGTTTCATCCTGGATAGAGCGACCGGCTGCTTTGCATCACCTTAACAAGATGATTTGCAAATCGTTGAGTTAATCATCCGCTCAGCAGGAAGGTCCGACTAAAACTATCTAGAGTCAGTATCACAGCTGGAGACGGTCGCAGAGTCACTCATACCAAACTTGGCAGGAGTGATCCTGGTTGGATGCCTGACAATCCTATGTCATCATGGTCTGACATCATCTAAGCCCCGCCCCCTCAGAACAGGAAGTGACTTTATTCACTTGGAAAGCTCCATCTCTGACCCCCTTGAACTAATCAAGATGATGTTGTGTCAGAAGACAGATAACTAGGCTGAAATCTGACCTGAACCTTAAGAGCAACATGAAGACAGTTACAAAGTCGGCCTTTCATCACCTGAAGAACATCTCCAGGATTAGAGGACTAATGTCTCAGCGAGATCTAGAGAAACTCATCCAGTGTCATTAATTACTTCAATAGGGTCTTCAAAGTCTGCCTAAAAAATAATCAACGCTGCTGCTGGAGTTCTGACTAAAACCAGGAAGACGGATCAACATCGCACCAATCCTAAAGTCCTTCCACTGCCTGTAGCTCAGAGAATAGACTTTAAAATACTGTTACCTGCTTATAAATCACTGAACGGCTTAAAAATCTACTGCAATGTCACTTTCACTGCAAGTTTTGGAGCAACCTTTCTTTAAAAGTGTCATTATTTATGGACTAATGCAAAGCTGATGCTTTTACTGAAACTTTGCATTAAAAGTCATTCCATACCAAAAGGCAGTTCATGACAGCAGTTATTAACATTATTTATTTTGGATATTTAGATCCTCCCAGTTCTACTGTCACATGTTTATTAGAATCTAAAGTTTATTGATCTTTGAGATGCCATTTTACCTGAAAATGGTCTCAAAACAACATTATTTTTTATGTCAATAACTTCAGGGACTATTTATCGTCCAGCAGAATTTGTTAGGATTAATTAAAGGGCAGTTTTACGTCTTAACTTGCTCTTTGCACGTTGCTTTACGATGTGAAACTTTGCCTGGTTGTGTGTGTGTGTGTTAGCTTCCAGAACGTCTTAAATTCACTCCCAGGCCGTCAGGCGGCCGGCAGGCTGGCGGGGACCTAAAGCTGCTCGGCGGTTGTGATGTCTGTGGCCGATGGTGTGTTTCCGTGGGTGTTTACTGTCCTGTGGGTTCCTGCTTCCATTCACTGCGACCATACGGGGAAATCGCACTCATGCGTGTCGCTTTGTGAAGTGTTGAAGAAAGACGTTCTTAAATTAGAGCGGATTTTATTTTAAAGGCGGGAGCAAAGAGAAAAACGTTTTGTGAGGTCAGAGAGGAAAGAGAGAACCGGCTGAGTGTTGGTGAGGCGGGCAGAAAGGGAAATGCCTTAAATAAAACCACCGTGGTAAGTGCTGCCACATGTTCTATTAATAAAACACACACACACAGCAGCAGCACAGCTGTAATCTGAACTGAGCTTGATGCTGGAAAATGTTTAGATTTTTACAGGCCTGACAGGATAAAACATGGAGAGCTCCTGGAAAAATGCATAAAATTAAGATTTAATGGGTTTTTAAAGGGTCAAAACTGATCCAGTCAAAAATAATTATGTTTCAGATTAATTACAATTCGTCAAGAGTTCTGGAAAATTAATTATAATTGATTAATCTCAATATTTATGACACTTAAGTCATAAATATTGAGATCATAAAGACAAAGTTAAGAGAAAAAAAAGCTTTGATTGAATCAATAATGTCAGATTTTGATAGTTTAATTATTTCAAAGTTGTGCTACTGGGGATAATTTGATGCTGACGTGTTAAACGATGAAATCAGAAGATAATCAGAGGAGGTCTCTAATAAAATTACAACTTTATTATTGTGATATCTAGACTTATCACTAAACTGTAATATGACTTATTACAACTTTTTAGCATCGTTTTATTCTTCTAATTATTTGTTTTCTCAGCCTGGTCCCAGGCGTATTCTGGTGCAGAATTATGACACATATCTAACTTTAAAAAATAAAGTTTTCTGACTGCAGATTGTTTGTCTGACTTGTATCAGATTTATTTCCTCGTATGGAACAAAAAAACCTGGATCTTCTTGTATGAAAAGATCAGAATTGGGCCAAAATAAATGAACATAAAATGATTTTCAAATAGAACTGATAGTTTAAAAATTAAAAGGCAGAAATTATTTTTAAAAGCCAATAAAAAATACAAATAATACAAGCAGTAAATGGTGACTTTGCTGTGTTGCTTCAGAGCGACTGCAGTGAAACAGTTGATATATTTATATATTTGAATAAAAACAGTAAAAGCATCCAGTATGTTGAACTTTGTAAAGCACTGTTCTCTTCTGAATCAGTCGCATGTCTGAAATGCGCCTGAAGCCTCAGGAATGTCAGCAGGTTGATCCAGCAAGCCGAGCATTTCTAAGCTTCTCCCTTCGCTGCATTTAATCTGAACACAGAAAAGTTTCTGTTTCTGACCGGACTGGTCCCAGTGATGCTGACCAGTCTGGTGAGGTGTGTGTTTGAGTGCTGTGGCCATTTATCCAGAGAACATGGAGCCCAAAGCCCGGCAGAACTTCCTGTCTGGTTCCCCTCCTCGTCCAGAGTTCTGGGTAACTTCCTGTCTTTGTGAGCCGCCTCTTAGTCACACACTCGTCAGCGGCTTGACAGGCATTCACGGGGTGTGTGTGTGTGTGTGTGTGTGTGGGGGGGTGTGTGTGTGTGTGTGTGTTTGTGTGTGTTAGGGCTTTCAACAAGCAAATCACCACTGTGGCTTCCTGTCCAACTCAGCATCCAACTGGAGAGCAGGAAGCTGCAGCTTCTCATGCAACCTGCAGCTTCCAGCGGCTCCCATTCAGAAACTCATGGCTGCTGTTCATGTTTAGCATCAACTGGAGAAACACATCTGGGACGGAACCAGAATCAGAAGCTCGGTTCTGTTTTCGTGAGAGCGAACTTCCTCAAACCGACCTGACGTTTTGTGTGTGTGTGTGTGTGTGGGGGGGGGGAACCTGGAGGGCTGCTATAGCAACCGGCGGGTCAACATCTTCCTGTTTTCAGGGCTCACAGACGTGTGTGACGGTGCATCAGAGGGAGCATCTCTGATGCACCGAGCAGCAGCTGTGACTTAGTTGGCAGGGAAACAAAATAAATCCAAACATAACAAATAATTTTTATTTTTTTTTTACTCGTTGCAAAGTTTAATTTTATTAAATACATTTTTTTGTAACTTTGGAGTTAATGTTTAAATTTGAAAAAAAGTCCAAATACCATTTTGTATTATTTAAACTACCGATTAATATAATTGTTATATTTTATTTTATTTTTACAGAATAAAAATACTTTTAATATAAAAGCACTTGATTCAATTCTTTTCAACTACATTTTATGTTTTAAATTTTTCTGCATTAATAAATTTTTTAAGTTTTTTTGATTATTGTATTCATTAACTTATTTTTTCATCATTAGCGTAATTATCTAGCTATTTTCTATATTTTTTTAAAATTTGTCTTTATTTCTGTCCAGGTCTGTCAGAGGAAAACACGGTCCAGACTCCGGCCTTCACCGATTCTGTGAGGCGCTACAGGCAGGTCAAAGGTCACTACGGCACCTGGGAGATGATGTGCGGGTCGCCGCCTCAGGTCAGGACCTTAAATTATTCACGTCTCGAACACGTTTGCAACTTAAACTCAGCGGGAGCCTCTGCATATTTTAACGAGCCACGCCCTAATTGAAGGGAGGGCTGTTACCCTGGCGACGTGTTAAACACAGAGAAAGTATTTCTCAGGAAGAGTCGAGGTGATGAGAGACGTGCAGCGCTGCTTTTAGCGGCGAGCTTTCCTCCTGGAGCTTTCATAAACATTTCTGATGATCATCTCTAAATAATTTGCTTTCTGCTTCTGCTGAAGCTTTGTGCTTTTTGCACTTCAATTATTCAAATCTTCCGCCCTGTTTCCTGAACACAGCATCATCTACACGACCCCCACATTAATGTGTTCATAATTAGCAGGTCAGGAGTTAAATTTGATGTTAATATTTCTACTTCAGCCCTTTCACAGTGTGAAGGACAGCTATAAAAATAAACACAAAGCCTGAATAGTTCCAGTAATCCTGAAACTGCCACGTCCTTCAGGGCAGAACTGAAAACAAGCAGCAACATATTTTTCCGCGTTCCTGCAGCAGGAAAGCAGCAGCTGCATGAAATATGCTTGCTATGGAATATTTAGGTGTGACGAAAGAAATGCAAAAGAAAGTCTGCAGCAATCAGCTTCTATGCAATATAGATATGTTAAAATTAGATTATAATACGAGTGTGACTTCATTTTGGTTTTTATAAAGCTAATGCCTTAGATACCTAGCCTGCAGTCTGCTGCTTTACATGTTTATTTATGTGTAGAAGTATTTTAAGAATTCTTTTTTCCTAAGTTTTAGAAAAAAATTTTCCTTTAAAAAACTTTTCTTAAATATGTCAATATATTTCTCCATTATAAATATATGTGTACACACAAATTATGTGAAGAAAAATAATTTCTTAATATAACATATTTTTTTCTTTTTTTAAAGACAAAAATTCTTGAAAAAAAAATGTATTTAAGAAAAAGTATTTTTAAAAATTATATACTTTTACAAAATAATATATGTATTCTTCAAAGATTGTTTTTGTCCTTTTTGAAATGTAAAAATATATTTAATATACATTTATAAAAATAAAAAAATATATATACAAATATATTAAAAAAGAGAAAAATATACATTTAAAATGAAAAGAAAAAACTACAAATATTTAAAAAACCAAAAAATGTACAAAGGTAATTTTTTAAAGTTTGTGACTCTTGGACTAAATTCACAATATTGTACAGACTGATAAGTTTCATGTTCCAGACCAACAAGCTTTTAGGTAAACAGGCGGTAACAGTGGAGTCTGTCCAGCCGCTCAGTCTCAGTAAACAGTTAAGCCTCCATGTTGGTGCCGAGGTCGATGTGTCCTCCGTAAATCAGCCTCCCAAAAGCGGCCAGGCAGCCACACAGGAAGGAGGGAGTGCTGTTTTTAAACATCTGTGTTTTCCCTGATTGGCTGTGACAAAAGCCAACACTACCAAAACGCACTACCAAAGAGCGATGGCTCATTTTTAATTCAGTTTATAACGAGGTACTTTACAAAAAAACTTAATTTCAGTTCAATCAGATCTACATTCAGATGAGGTTTTGATTTTTTTTAAAAAGTTTACTCCAAGCTTCATTTCTGAAAGCTAACATCTTCAGCTAGGTCTAGTTAGCCGGTATTACTTAGCAACATGCTAATGTAAGCCAAATGCTAACACTAATGTATTAAATTCAATCCATCCGTTCATCTGTCTGTCCGTTCATCAGATTTAGTTCTCGGCATTTCGTTGGTCGTTGCATACTGAAATGTTTGTCTCTGTGACAACCGGGTTCTGTTTTCCAGATCCTAGCTAACCTGGTTCTGGAGACGCTCCAGCCTGAGCTCAGAAATGCGATTGGCCCTCGGCTCAAGGGGAAGCTGCAGGACAGACAGAGGAAGTGGATGTTGGTGAGTGTCTGTCCCACCGACACGTTCTCGGTCCATTCAGTCTCTCTGACCGTCTCCCTGCTCTTCAGATCTCTGACGCCGTGTACCGGCAGGTTCTGACCCAGACAAGAGACCAGTACGCCGCCCTGGTGGACGCCTGTGAGGCCCAGAAGCCTTCGCTGGACGTCAGACTGCGTGGCGACATGGACATGCTCGTCACAACCAAAGAACATGTCATCGGCAAGATCAGAGGTGGTTGGAGTTAGAAGTTACTAACGCTGGTTTAAAGCTGCAGTATGAAACTTTTATAAATGAAAGTTTTTCACATTTCTGTTAAACCATCACCATGTTCAGACAGTAAAATATCATCTGTGAAAACATCAACCCCCTCCCCCTTTTCCATGAGCCACTACTGGCGTCTGAAGAAATGCTCCAAAAACAACCAAGCAAAGCCAGGAGGCGGGGCTTAACGCTGCCAATCATCCTTTGAATGACAAGTAACAGCTTACTGTTACTGTTTCTCTACCATTAGTTTTGGCTATGCTAACTAGCCTCAGCACTGATGCTAGCTGCAGCCCAGCAGGAAGCAAGAGGGTCGTTGCATAGGATGACTGACAGCAGTAAGACCCGCCTCCTGGCTCTGATTGGACACAGATTATCTGTCACATTAAAGTGTTAATATAGTTAGTTTCAACAAATGTTTAAAAAATATATGTTTTATAAAAGCTACATACTGCATCTTTAAGGCTTACTGATATGATTTCAATGTTTTACTAATCGCTCTGATGACCGTCATGGCCGCAGTCTGATTGAAAACATTTAGAGAAGCTCAGTTTTCATCTGGTTTATTTTATGAATCATCTCTTATTTTAGGCTCTAGTTTTTACCTCCGGTTGTTCTCATTGGTCTAACATGACGCATCGAGAGCAAGCTTCCTGTTTTTTCAAAATATAAAGAAAATGAGTTTCATGGTGATGTCATTATCATGTCACCATTGCAAGTTAAGGAGTAAAGCAGCTCAGCAGCTTCTCCTTTTATGGGAATTTTATTGGCATGATGAACTAAACCTATAAAACACAACATTTGAATGAGATGAGGTAATGCAAACAGGTTATTTAAATTTCTTCTCAGACCAAGATGTTGATTTGACATTTGGGAAACTGTTGGTGTAGAATCACATTTTTTCGCTTTTTATCTCTGATATTCATCAGAAGTGAATAATAATTACATTTTTAGTCCACATCCAAACATCTTTACATTTCACTTTCATTATGCATTTCTTTCCTCACGTCCTCCATTTGTTTTTCTAATTTTTATCCCTTACTTCTTTTAAAGTTCCTCAGTCGTCCCCTTTTTGTTATGCGTTTTCCGTCATCACTGTGAACTTTTACACTTTCAAATGAGCCACTGATCCTGACATCGTCTCATCATCTCAAACATGCAGCTCTTCTTATAAAGGCAGAGTGGAAGGTCTGCATTCCAGCCACATGTTGAACATTCAGTCTAAATTCTTCAGAAGAGTGTGACACGTGTTCCTGAGAGAAACCCACAGGCGTTCTGACTCTTCTTCCGGTGTTTTGTCGCTGACCTCCAGCCGTGGTGATGCCGAAAGCCGAGCAGATCCTGCGCAGCAGCATCCAGCCGTACCTGAGCTCCATCCTGGACGCCCTGATGGAGCCCACCAGCCGCGGCTTCGCCGAGATCAGGGACACTTTCTTCAAGGAGGTGGTGGAGATCAGCAAGAACTCGCTCAACGGCAGCGGCAAAGACAACCTGGGAGAGGTGAGCGGAGGAACGCGGCGGCTTTAGATTGCTAACCAGGGAGTGTCTGAGGCTACGCCTCAGGTCACGGCTAAGGTCATTGTGTGTGTTTTTGGTTGTGCTGCAGCAACTGGAGCGCCTGTCCATGCTGGCCTTCCACCCGGTGAAGATGCAGAGCGGCTACCAGCAGATGCAGCAGCTGAACCTGGAGGGGCTGCAGCAGAGGTTCGACGTCTCCAGCCCCAACGTGTTTGTCAGCAGAGCCCAGATCCTCATGAGGGAGGTGAGACATGCGCAACTCTGCTGCCACCTGCTGGCCTTTTACACGCATCACACTTCCTGTGATTATGAACCAATAACCAGAGGTGGGCAGAGCCCAAAAATTACAAAAGGTATTTGGTATAAAGTCCACTCAAGTACTGAGTAAAAGATCAAATTAATAATTTAATATTTAAACATTACATCATCAGATTGATCAAAATATGAAGTTCGGTGAAAATTTTGGAATCTACATTTACCAGATTGACATTTTTTGTTTTTGTTTTATAATTTTCTAACTGTACAGGGTCAGATGATATTCTTGTTTTAGTATTGTAAATTCATGGCTTTAATTAGGGAAATTTTTAATTTGTAACAACTTTTTGACAAAGGAACATTTCTAAGCTTTTTCTTGTATTTATGTAAAATGAATCGCTTATACGTGTGCGTGGAGAGAAGTGCGTTCTCTTATTACTCATTTTAGCATAATCTCTTCTATATTCAATAGAATGGCCTGGTAATATCAAGGGAGTATAATTTTATTGCCGGGATCAGAGGTTTTGAATAATTAAGAGGATTTGTTTTTGGTGGAAATTCACTCCTGCGTGGCCAATTTTTAAAATATTTTATCTATAGTTACTCTTACAGTCCATAGCAGAAAAATATTGTCATGAAGCTCAAGTATTTTCCAGGCATGATTTTATTTTTTTTACAGATTTTAATCCCAGATTTTTATCCACCAACTGATCCATTAATTTCTAGGGCTGCAAGATATAATGAATGTTGCCATGACAATATTCCTACTAAATCTTTAGATTTTCAACTTTTAAAAGACAATAAATAAATAAATGAACATGAAGATTGCGTTAAGGGCACGGGAGGTTGATCCAACCAGCTGTAAATGTTATTTAAATAAATTTTAATATGATTTACTTCCATTAAAATTCAAATAATATTAAAAGTGCAGCATTCTGGTTGCAGGACGCGCTTTGGTTTGTGATATTTCATGTTATAGAGCTGCAGTTCTCCGTCCGTCTCTTCCTTGTTTGCAGTCTTTGGTTTTTCCAGGTTTGATATTTAAACTTCTGCATTAATTCACGATGGAGTTTCATGTGTGAAAACGTTTTGTATTTGCTTGTTTGGGCAGCAAATGGACAACGCGGTGTTCACGTTTGAGCAGCTGCTCCACCAGGCGCTGGAGGCGCAGGGCGAGGACGACCTCTGTAAAACCATCCAGAAGTGTCAGGACAGAGTTATCAAGGTGAACCAGCCGCAGAGCTGCGTTTAAATCGGATTTATTTTTAACGGGCAGAATGAAAACAGTCGACTCTGTTTGTGTTCCTGCCAGAAATACGACTACGACAGCAGCACGGTGCGGAAGAAGTTCTTCAGAGAGGCTCTGCTGCAGATCATCATCCCCTACATGCTGCAGCAGCTCGCCCCGACCTGCACACCAGTCAGTAACGCAGCGGCTCTGCCACGCTCCTGTCAGATGTCGGTTTGATGTGTTAAAAGTTGTGATGCTCTCTGCAGGAGCTGCCTCGCTTCCAGGAGCTGATCTTTGAGGACTTGTCCCGCTTCCTGCTGGTGGAGAACATGTACGAGGAGGTCGTCCTGCAGTCCGTCTCCAAGGACATCATGATGGGTGAGAACGAAAAAAACAAAAAAAATCTGTCCTGTTGCTTCACTCCAAACAAAGACAATTTTATCAGGACTTGTGATAAACTATAACGTTTGGAGACCATTTTCAAGTAAATATATTGAAAATGGCATAATAATGAAATTAAGACTTTAATTTTGTAAGGATCAGTTAGCCACTGTGCATTTTAAGCCTGGCAGGCCACCAGGCTTTATTTGCTCCCACCAGGCGAAGTGAAAAAATAATGCTTGTTTTAATGTTTGTATTTTTAGTTTATAGTTGGTATTTATGATTTGAATGTGTCTTCCAATAACACATAATTACATATTGATATTTTCACATTTTCTGTCAACCTCATAATCTATTTGATGTTTTTTATGTTTATTGTTGTTTAAATATTTAAAATGTCTTCCAGTTTCGCTTAAAAATGTTTATTAGAAATTAAATGAATGTATTATTTCATTATTATGCCATAACCATTATATTACTGAAAAACTAAAAAAAACATTATTGTTTATTGCAATAACTTCTGGGACAAATAGGGGTAGTGTGAGTTATATTGCCTAATTTCTATTCTAATTATTAATATTTATTTAGAAAAGCATTTTTCTTAATTTTTCTTTGCATTATAATAACATTATTAATGCATTACCTGATGATAGATTCAACAAAGTATCGCAATAATTTCTGGGACAATTTATTGTCCAGGAATCTGTGTTATTGTGACAGGCAGATGTGCGGACGCCTTTTCTGAAATTTGAAATGAAAACTGTAGGAACCGTGTGAAGATGAATGACTTTGTGTCTTATTTGTGTTTGTCCAGCGGTGAAGGAGGCGGCGGTGCAGCGAAGACACAACCTGTACAGAGACAGCATCGTTCTGACCAACAGCGACCCCAACCTGCACCTTCTGGAAGAAACACCGCAGGTGGACTGGGATGCCAAGTTCGGATCCGACGGTTCAGACGGCGGCAAAGAAAAGGGATTCAGAGGCAGACGTAAGCAGGTGGTCTCCATGATCCAGATGGAGGGGCTGCCCATCTCTTACGAGTCCTGCCTCGAGGTCCCAGGGGTGGAACTCATTCCCGAGGAGGACGGGGACGTTGCGGAGGACGACATGGGGGAAATCGAGGAGAACCCGGGTCCGTCCGAGGACCCGAAGTCTCCCGACAGCGTGAACCAAATCAGAGACCTGATCAACCCGGTGGTGGAGGTGGTTCTGCCGGGTCCAAAGGAGGACACCACCACCGGGACGGAGACCACCAACGGCACCATCACCTTGGAGGACGGAGTGCAGGAGGAAGTGACCCACGTCACCACCATCGTGAGCGACAGCATCAGCAAGTCCAAGTCCATCATGGAGGAGCTGGTAGGCAGCAGGAAGCAGAAGGAGCTGCAGGATGAAGCGGCCATCCAGAGAGCCATCGAGCAGATGGAGATGGCGGTGCAGGAAGAGGACAGCGAACAGGCGAGCGAACAGGAAGCGAGCGAACAGGAAGCGAGCGAACACACGACAGAAGCCTCCGACTCGGAGTCTCAGCCGCTAGCGAAGGACTGCGGCTCACGTAACGACGACAGCGGCTTCCAGTCCCCGACCAACGAGGCTGAGACCGAAACGATCACCAATGGTCCGGACCAAACTGCCGACCCAGTGGACGTGGAACTGCTGCTAGCATAGAAAACTGTAAAAACCCAAAACACGATGAGAATATAAATTTATTTATTAATGTGTTTGTCAGACATTTAAACAAAGAAGAAATCTTTGTTAAATGATTAGAAGTAACGTAATGTTAGATGTAAAGAACGCTAAATTCATCCCTGAGTGAAGTTTGGCTCCTCCCACTTGCTACAACTCTAACAAAATTGGTATCAATTAACCAGATTGTGCATCAAAAATATTTATTTGTGCTACTTTTGAAGATATTATTGGAAGTTTAAAGGTCAATCAGGCCACTCCACGTTACCCAAGACTAACTTTTTTATCAACATTTAAAATGACACAAACTCACCAATTTTGTCAACTTCACTCAAGTTAAATTCATCATCTGCAAACATTTTACCGCCTTGTTTTAATCAGCTTGCTTCATTTGACTGTAAATATGTGTATCTGACCAGCAGGGGGCGCTACAGCCACAGCTGAGAACCTCCTGTATTTCCTTTATATTTCAAAACAATTATTGATCTTCTAAGGTAATCAGCAATATCTGTTTTAAATACATGAACGTGTTTATAGTCAGTACATTGAGTTAAATATGTTTTGTTTTTATTTAATGTTTTTGTTTAATATTTTTATAATCTCATAGGGGTTGTTAAGCTGTCATGGTGTTGTAAAGCTGATTTCATTCACTCATTAACGGGATCATAGTGGTGATTAACTGTAAGCTACCCTATCAGTTATTTAAATAAAGGTTTGTAGTTTTGTATATTTCTCAAGAGATAAAACTTAATTAGCACTGATTGCATGAATTATATGTAATTTGGGAACCAGTTTGTCTGAAGGCCAATAATGTTCTATATACTAAACTATCAAAACAATTTATAAAACTCATTTTAATCTTAATTAACCGAAATATCATCCAGCCACATTTCATACAGTACAAAGTAAATATTTAACTGAAATGAGTCTTTCAGCAGACCAGGTTAGGGTTGACAGTCCAATTCAATTTTCTCTAGTTTCTTTATCTCCACAATGAAGCTATTAAGTAACAAGCCAGAATATCTTCATTAAAATTACATTTAAATTATTTTTTTAATTGTCAAATCATTACTCCAGTCACTTTTATACTGGCCACTTTGGAGATGGGCACTAAAAAGGCATTTAATAATTGCAACTCACAATTAATCAGTTAGTTTGATTAATAATTGTTAATCAGATAAAAAAAAAGTTGAAACATTCTGCAGATTTGTCATGTAACCACATAAAATCTTTCATACAATATTATAAATACATTAAAGGATGCAAGAAAGTATTTCTTCAGTTGACGTTTTGTACCAAAGGCTGCATCTGCAGCTAAAAATACTTCTAACATGTGAAAAGCTCAGTTCTTTCAGCTGGAAAGAGCTGAGTGGAAACAGGTTTAATCTGATTGTTTGGATTAACTGATTAATTTTTTTTTAAAGAATTTGAACAGAGTGTAGCTAAAACTGTGCAACTTTAGTTCTGGGTACACCAGATTTACAAACAGATGTTTCATGTTGTATCTCAAATGTAAAATGTATGTATTTTTTGCAAGGTTTTGTTTAATTACTGCTCTCTTTGCCTTTTATTGAATCTCTACACTTAACCATTAATAATCGATGACTCGTGGCGATTAATCCTTTCAGCACAATAAACCTTGAAATCGGGGATAGCTGTGTCGAATCACAGTCAGAGTAAAACGCTTAAAGCCATATTCACTGACAGCTTAAACATAACAAACAGACAAAGAACCTTACAGATTACCAAACTGTTGACTTACCTCCGGTTGTCAGCTTCCTGTGTCCTCATGTTGGATGAAGTCATCTTTACAACATCCGCCGATACCAAGAGCTCATACCCCTGTGGTTCCAGGTAATATTTACTCAAACAGGCTTCTAAAGATGGGAAGAACCAGTGGAAACCTCCCTGCACGGACGGCAGCCATCTTGTCAGGACGTCGCATCCGTTGAAGAAGGCACACACAATAATTCCATAATTACAGAAGTCTTGGCTTTTATGGGGTAAATATTCTGGACTTTAAAAGTAAAAACGTTTTCCCAAAAAGGTGCTATTAAACAGGGGAAAAAAACAAGAAAGAAGGAAACGCAGTCTCTAGAGCGGGTCTTGCTAGCTGAATGGGAGGCCAACGAAGCCGAAAACGATTCCCGCTTCATAAAAGCACCTCATAAGATCCACTTTTATGACTCCTGGGACATTTTACATCCAACTGGAAGTCCGGGAGCCCGGTTTCCGCGTTTAGGTGAAACTATCCCGAGAAAATATCCGTCATTGTCCAGTTTCATCTGTAGCTGAAAGCTAAGCTAGCTAAACAGCCGTTGGCGACGTGACAAAAGGCACGCACGCGCTGATTGAGTCTCACGTGTATGGAGCTAAAACAGTCTCATAATTCACAGATGCTCGGAACAAAATCCCCGCTTGTTTGTTTTAGACAGATATTTCTTGATTTACAAGCTGGTTTTGTGCATCTTTCTCTGTGCATTTGTGTGTCGACATCAGAGCGGTTTCAAAATTTACCATTCTATCTATCTATCTATCTATTGTTCAATAAATAAAACAAGTAATAAAGTAAATATTACATATGGAAGCCCATTTCCGCCACTCTGTTAAAAAAATTAAATAAAATTATCTCATTATAATGAGATAGTATCTCAAAATAATGAGATAGTATCTCATTATAATGAGATAGTATCTCAAAATAATGAGATAGTATCTCAAAATAATGAGATACTATCTCAAAATAATGCGATAGTATCTCAAAATAATGAGATACTATCTCAATATAATGAGATAGTATCTCAATATAATGAGATAGTATCTCAATATAATGAGATACTATCTCAATATAATGAGATAGTATCTCAATATAATGAGATAGTATCTCAATATAATGAGATAGTATCTCAATATAATGAGATAGTATCTCAATATAATGAGATACTATCTCATTATAATGAGATACTATCTCAAAATAATGAGATAGTATCTCAAAATAATGAGATAGTATCTCAATATAATGAGATAGGAGACTGTGGAGGTTGAACCCCCTTTCGAATTGGTTCAGTCCACCTGGACCGATTTGACGGTACCATCGGTCGCGCCTGCCGCCTGGAATCACCTAGCTAAATGTAGCTATTTACAACGGTAAGAATTGTGGTTTTGTTAATTTAAATTAAGTCTGCAATATAAGCTAGCATAGTATAAAGTAATCAATTTGTTATACTGACGACGGTAGCTAATTTTGAAGACATCAAAATTAGCTACCGGTTTCTGTTTCTTCACTTCGTCAGTGCACAACTGACTTTTCGTTGATTGTAGTTAATATCTGAGGATTACGTGGTACGTTTATTTGCTGTAATGATACATGTTCAGTCTACCACAAAGTGTAATAACTGGTGAGTAGTTCCTAGATGCTGCATCACGCTCCCAAACCATTGCGACGCCAAAACGATACCTCTAGCCTATGTATTTTTTTAAGTTAAACTAAAATATGTCGTGGCATTTTATGTCACGTACTCTGTCAGAATCTCTCTCTTTTATTAAATTTTAAATACTTTATGTACCTGGTCCCCAAGCAAATAAATAAAATAATAAATAATTGTTTTGTCTGTTTGCAAATCAATTTCTTTGATTTAATCAGTAAGTTCAAGTAACAAACAAAACATTATGTGCTTGGTTTTGTACAGTGCAGGTTGTTTCAGAAAGAGAAGAGTGGATGGTGTGCACCAGCTGGATTTTCACAAGCCTTAACTCATCACACAAGCGGTATAAGTGACTTCTCTGCTATAGTGTGTTTCTCCAGTTCTCCATTGAAAGACCTTTATGCTCCTCAGACAGCTTCATTTTATGTTTTCTTTCCTTTTCTACTGCTAAAGACATTGTCAGTATGGAACGGTACAGTTCTTTGTTATTACCAATAAATATTTTCTTATCTTTTCTGTGAATTTAAAGAGGTTTCTCAAGATGTGTCCATTTAAACCACTGTATATGCATAAATTTGTGTAATTACACAAATAAAATAACTGTGGTAATAGTTATTATAAAACAAAAGTTTAAAAAGATGCATTCCATTTTCTGTTCACCCTTGTTCCTATTGGGGTTGGGAGTTGCTGCTGCCTCTCCAGCTTCGTTCCAGGCGAGAGGTGGGGTCACCTGGACAGGTTGCCAGTCTGTCACAGGGCAACATAGAAACAAACAGGACAAACAACCATGCACACACACACTCACACCTAGGGAGAATTTGGAAAGACCAATTACCCTGACAGTCATGTTTTTGGACAGTGGGAGGAAGCTGGAGTACCCGGGGAGAACCCACCATGCACAGGGAGAACATGCAAACTCCGTGCAGAAAGACCCCGGGCAGGGAATCGAACCTATGACCTTCTTGCTGCAAGGCAACAGTGCTAGTAACTGCACCACTGTGCAGGCCCCCTAGTAAAATCATTTCACAAAAAAATAAATAAATTGCGCTTAAAGGAATTATGAATGTCCCGGCCCGGGGTCTTTCTGCATGGAGCCTGCATGTTCTGTGCATGTGTGGATTCTCTCCGGGTTCTCCAGCTTCCTCCCACAGTCCAAAAACATGACTGTCAGGGTAATTGGTCTTTCCAAATTCTCCCTAGGTGTGAGTGTGTGTGTGCATAATTGTTTGTCCTGTCTTTCTCTGTGTTGCCATGCGACAGACTGGCAACCTGTCCAGGGTGACCCCGCCTCTCGCCCAGAACGCAGCTAGAGATAGGCACCAGCACCTCCCAACCGCACTAGGGACAATGGTGTTAGAAAATGGATGGATAAATGGCATTATGAATTATAATTAATTTTTCAGGAAAATTATAATTTGTAGTATGACTTGCTTTACATTTTATTGGAAACATGATGGTCTTGTGTATCTTCACCTTCCAGTGTATGATCACAGAATGGATGACCTGAGTGATTTCCTGAGACAAAGAAATATTCCTGAGGAAACTATTGAGACCATGCTGAGAGAGAAGGTACAAGCTAAAAAATAAATCAGTATTTCAAAAACTACAGTTTGTTTAAGGCATGTGTCTAGCAATGTTATATAATTGAATTCAAATAATTTGCATGCAATTCTAGTTCCATAAGTTTTAAAATAAATTATTTTTTATTCTTCTTGTTTAGATTGATAGCAGTGTCATCCAACTCATGACAGATGAAGAGCTAAAGAGTTATTTGCCATCATATGGAGACCGCATCGCCCTATTAGGATACTGTAAAAGGAAGGAAACTGGTCCCCCAAACAGTCGCAAATCAAAACTGTTTGAGCGCCTGAAATCAAAGCTGGGTAAAAGGAAAACTGCTCATCAAGATGGTTGTGGTCTGGAAAAAGAAGAGCAATCTGAAACAAACGTTAAGAAGAATGCTCTGAAGTCAAAGAGACAAATAGAAACAGGCTGGCTGCTTTATGATGAAGACCAACAGGCTTTTAAACAAGTAAGAGCAAGAAGAGGTGGAGGAACAAGGAAGGTTTCAAAGGATGCTAGAAAAAGTGAGATCATCCACAAAGCTGTTGGCATTTTCTTTCCAAATGGAAGAAATAGAGACAGGTCCAGAGCAGATTTTGAAATAGATCTGAAAGTTTATCAGGAAGTGGCAGTTGATGACAAAATCACTGCTGGACAAATGTTTCATGTTACAAAACTGACTATTCTCAGGTTTTACCTGACCACCCATAAAAAGAAGGCTAACCAGTCAGTCAGTCAAGATGA